TGGCCGTTGAGAATAAGTAGTTGAGCTTTGAGTTATTCACATTGATAAATTACCGTTGTACTCTTGTAATTTAGGGTTTTAACAGAAAAACTTCCATGGAAAATGCGAGAGATGTTCCTTCCTCTCTCGACCGTATTAGGCGGTGGATGCTAAGTGGCGATTGATACGAAGAAGGCGTTCCAAGTTAATCAGTAGTCGATACGAACCAGGTGGTATTTATGAAACATGTAGGAAGTGCCACATGCAACCTTCTCTACGACATTCCTCTTCCCTAATGCATTCAAGTTTAGACTGTATACACTTCAAAAAGTGGTGTCATTAAAATGTCAGTCACATGGAAGTGTCGCTTATTTGGTGTTTAAGTCGAACAAAACCTAAAATTGTATTGTATATTATACCTGTTGTACTACTTTTATTACATTCTATTAATATACACGTTAAATCCAGCATATTTCATTTTAGTAGACGAAGTAGTTAACATAACCTCCTACAAAAATTTACTGTCACCTTTGTTAAAAAGTGAAAATGAAAGCTGCCACATAAAATTTTCAGTTTTGCCGACTTAAGAATGACAAAATATACGTAAAATAACCAGATTTTCAGAAAATGAAGTGAACTTTTAATTAAGATTGTGGAAAATTTAGGCCCTCTTCCGCAAATTTTTTTATTCTAAACGTGTTATTAAGGTGTCCTCTATCCATTTCTATAAATTTCATGATCATACCTGGGGAGCTTATTAGCGCAACGCACCCGTCTGCATTATAATTATCCAATCGTTGATTGAATAACTTATTCAATGTACGATTTAATTGTTATTTTGCATGTACTAGAACTGTAATGGGAGTCAGGCAAAAATATTACAGTACTAGTCAGGTAAAGATCAACTTTCCAATGTCAAAATAGCCCTGAAATTGGGTCCGTTAACTTGCCCCCCCCCCCCCCCCACTGAGAGATTTCATAGTCGTATTATTTTGAAATGAATGCGCTTGTTATGCGCTCATATGCGCCACCGATAATAACTCTTGCGCCATTATCGTTTTTTAGAAATCCGAAAAAACATTTGGGGGGGCCAAGTGAACGTAGCCCCCCCCCCCAGTACGTATTTTGTCCCTTGTAACTAGGTCACCTGATACATTTGGTTATGCGCTCAATTGCGCCACTTGAATTAAAGCTAGCGCCATTACGGTTAAGCCGTGACAAATTTTCAAAAAGCGGGGGGGTCAACTTAACGTTTTTAAAAGTTACTTTTTTTTAACATCTTTTCATACGAAATTGTACTCTCAGGTATGCGCTGAAATGCGCCGTAAAAAGATATATTTGCGCCATTATTGTTTTTTTGTTATCCTTAAATATATTTGGGGGGGCCAAGTGAACGAATCCCCCATAACGCATTTTTGCTACCGGTGATTATGGCCCCTTGATACATCTGGTTATTGAGCTACAATTGCGCCACTTGAATTAAAGCTAGCGCCATTACGGTAAGCCATAAAAAAAATTTAAAAAGTGGGAAGGGCGTCTAAACTCTTAGCGTTTTCAAAAGTTAGTTTTTAACATTTCACTTCGCTTATTCCCAAATGTAAGATTCCTGTAAAGTTGATTGTTGAGAGAATATAAAATATCATTGGCCAATATTCTTCTTCTTGACCTTTTCCTTCTTCTATGAAGGGTCGCTGTCCCTGAATCCTCCTCCACTCACACCTGTCCCATGATTAGCGACTTCAGTACTTTGTGTATGATTCTGCCTTTTTTTTAATGTCTTGTAACTGTTTCGTCCTTGCAGAGTTAAATGCCGGAGTGCTAAAAGTACTTAGTCTTAGGTTACCGTATCCAGGACCTTCAGATACTTTCTGGACTGAAGAAGGTTCGGCTAATTATCAATACATTTCATGCACTTTATGTAAAAGACTTCGCAATGTTATTTTTCACAAATGGGAAAGTAGTGAAGTCGCTTTGAGATCCATTTGTACTGACCATTCTTTGACACAAAATGTTGTTAAAGAAGTTAAAGACCTTTAAAAATCAAAAAATGAGTTTTGCCAGTTTGTTTGCAACACCGAGTTTTTCCCAAAAAAATACATAGGTGAGATGTCTATATCCCTTTAAATACCCTGTATATTTCAACGTCGGATGCAACCGGTCAAGTAGTTGGAGATTCTGGGGACATGAGCCACCCATCACCACCTGTCGATATTTTTTTGGTAGCTTCCGGAGGATGTTTGGGGATTTTAGGGTGCTTGGCGTCAAATCATCACTTGTTGTTTGTTAAAGCTTGTTGGTGGTGGGCTTATTGTATTTTAAGTTGTATCAATAGTTTAGCTTTGTTTTTAGTGTTTGTGAGTTCAACCAATTTGGTGTCGGGTAAAGTATTTTATGTAGTTTACTCTTATGTACTTATATGAATAGTGCCATTTGTTAAATCAGATATTTTCCAACCACCATTGTGCTAATACGTAATTTACAACATGCAAGGTGTTAACTAATATCCATGTGCTTGTGGAAGTCTACAATATCTCAGGTTTAGACCACGTTTACTCAGTTACACGATGCACGGGGGTGTACCTATGTCGAACCTCGACTTCCGTGAAGTAGGGCATGCAATGCTAGGTGTATTTAGTTTAGGGTGACTCGTAACATTCGCGAATGTGTGTGCCTTGTTGTATGTAACTAATATCTTTCTACCGTGAGAGGGAGCTCGGACGCTAGAATAGAAAGGTGTTCTAGAGCTAAGGCATAAAAGGATCCGAGGGCCCTCGAAACTCCAACTTTAGGGATGAAGTGCTGTAACAAAGACCATCCTGCCCATGGGCGGCGACCCATCTCTTAACCACCTTCAGTTTTGTGTCGTTACGAGACCGATGTCCGGGGAGTGTTACGAAGCACAGGTAGTAGTTGCGGAAGTCGGGGGTTTATACCAATGTCATTATGTGGAAACTGAGTATAATTGAGGGCCCCACGAGCACATTGTGTATTGTCATAACTGCCTATTGTTACGTCACAACTTGAATAATATATCAGACTTGTTTTTACAAACTTCACACCACCGTATTCGATATACAATGATACGAATAACTAGTAAGGTGACTTATATCAATAAATGCGTGAATGTGTTGCCCCTAACAATCTTAACTGCGCTACGGGTTAATAGGCAAATATGCCGGCCCAATTCTTAACAATATAACCGTGACACAGGAGGGCAATCAAGCTAAAACGCTGGCCCTAACCTAACAAATAACCAGGTTCACCACCCAATGACTAACTAAAAAGTGAGTTACCTTCTAGCCGCGATTAAAGGAAAGTACATGACATGTTGTGACGAATACTCTACGCATACTGTTCAAACGTACCCTGCTACTTGAATTCATTAATTAATTAAGGTAGTGTTACATGTTCTGCTTAGGTGGTTGGTGTTTTAATTTGCTTGTGATTAACATAGTTTGGGTTTTATTCAAGGCCAAAGTTTTTCTCAAGTCGCGCTCTTTTTCGCCTTGGTAGTCTGCTTTTGCGAGAGTGCGGCACCTTTAGGTTTTGCTTGCTTTGCTTTTAATGTACCACATCCAAATTCCGGGTTTTTCAGAATAAGTTTATAATAAATAAACTCGCAGACATTAGTGTTTTATTTGAGTGTTCCTGCCCGACTGGGTCCCGAGTCATTGTATTAGGTTCGTGTAACGTAAGGGGGCCCTACCGTAGACGATCCAATCACGTACCATTCTTTTGTTTGAATTTTAGGCGGGAACCGTGTTTTGATACACAGATTGCAACGTTGCCACTTTTCCGTGAAATCTGTCATTTTCATTTCGAGCCTGGGGGTGGGTTAAGATTAGTACATAGGTACGGTCAATTATTTGCTATCACTTATGCTTACAGAATTAAACCACACTAACGATTTATTTAACCAACATATATGAGTAACCCACGGCCCTCTGATAAGTTTTGTCCGGCCCGCTAACATAATTCAGAGTTAATACTTCATACGGCCCGCCAAGTTACATTAAAAATTCGAATGAATTAATTAATATGGATTATAATGATTATCTATATTTAGTGACTTTAATGATTATGTTCCACGTGCAGCCTCTAGTGGACGCGATCCGAAGCTTCCAAGACGTTTGAAAGACTCTTTGAAGATTTTTGGGATTAAGCAACATTTTTAAGCCATATTTTGTAACAAATCTTAAGAGCATACATGAAAATTTTGATACAAGCTGAATATGAGGATTTATTATCCACGTCTGGTAAATTTTGTATGCAAAATCGTGTCAATTTTCAGGCATACTTATTTTTTTTAATGGTTTTCACGATAGCAAAAAATAGATCAAGGCCCATGCCTGCTGTTCGACATATTACACATTTTTATAGGGCCATTCACCTTAAATGGCAAGAGTTTAATTTCGTGCGTTAAAATTACCCCTTTATCCGCATTAAAGTAAACTCAATTTAATGAAATGTCATTTTAATGTTTATAGGTTAAAGATTCCACTATTGTTCGTATTTAATGTAATAGTTCCTAAACCGTAAATTATCTCCTGTGAATAGAGGGCACTAAACAATTTAATTCGCACTTTTTAAACCAATCGCATTTGTATTACACTCAACTTCGTTACTGTAGGTGCCCGCAATTTTCCCCGCAAGTAGTATACACTCGATTATTGGAGTTGTTCCACTAATGTATAAAACACCTTGCGATAAATTACAGGTGGTCGACTTAACTTCGCCTACTGCTTAACGCGAACGCTCTCACGGTTCGATGCCAATCACTTCGCGGTCCTCCTCCAACAAGCAACTTTTTACGACTTTTCATTTTTGAGTGACACCCATTCCGGGCCAAAAACTTTTTGTTACGAATATTTTGATGTTGATGGTTTGTAATTTGATTGTACGATCTTTCATATTTTGAGTTCATATATACAGTGTGTAAAGCGATGGGGTATACAAGAGGGAATTTTTTTTAAATATTGATTTATGAAAAAAATTTATTTTCGTTAAAAACACGTGAAAAATGCAGCACAAGTAAGCGTTTATTTTAATCTATTGTATCGCTACAAGAAAGGAAAACTCTATTCTCTAAAACCGGCGGCCTGCGGCGTGCTCATGGCGTACATCTACAGCAAAATCCCCTCTGTTGGTGTTCCTGGCTGAGTTGGTTCCTACATCGCTCACCGCAGAGTTAAATTTAGCGCCTTAAATTTAAACTTAGCGAAGTATTCTTCACATTTATTCTTCATGATATTTTTTGCTTGCTTTGAAAGTACCAATAACGTTTCGATTGTTTGTGGTTTGATAGCAATAAGCCGCCTTACATACCAAGGAGCAAGGAGGAAGGGGAAGCACTGTGTTTTGGAGAGAAAAGGAATTGGATGAAAAAGATGCGTAGAAAAGGAGTGCGTGGAGAGTCAGGAACAGAGAGAGAGAGAGAGAGAGAGAGAGAAATGATCAAGAAGAAGAAGATTAGTCAATAATACATCATATTCTCTCAACAATCAGCTTTACAGGTATCTTACATTTGGGAATAAGCGAAGTGGGCTCAAATCTAAAAGGTGGTTGGGTATCAGGATGTACATGAAATCTGAAACTCCTCAATAGTACTGTCAAGGCAAGTTTAGCCATCAGAATCCCGAGCTTTTCGCCTGAAACACAAAGCACGTGTTAGTGTAGGACGAGAAGAGGTTAACCTACCGATGCACGTGCGTGGACCACCACCGAAGGGCATAAAGGTGGTGAGAGGGCGACGACTGTCTTCATTGAAACGACTGGGATCGTACTTGTCCGGATCGCGATGGTACTCTGGATCTCTGTGTACTGCGTAGACCGGAATGACAACCGCCGTTCCTTTTCTGATTACGACGTCGGTTTCGGGAATGTGATAATCCTTTGTACAAAGGCGGGTGTTCACCGACAGCGGTGGGAATTTCCTCAAAGTTTCTAAAATCTGACTACAGACGACCGCGATCGTTCCCACTTACCCAAAACACAATTTTCCAAATACTTCATATCTGCAATTGCATCGTAACTAACCTCCCCGTCATGCGTGGCCAAGACGGAATTGATTTCATTTCGAGCATTATCCTGGTACTCTTGGTTTAGCGCTAACTCTATCAGAGTGAAGGAGATCCCCGTGGCCGGTCCCTCAAAACCAGCCAGAAGAATCAAGAAACACTGGGCGGCAATGTCCGGGAAACTCAAAAGTGTGACTCCTCCGCTGGTTCGCTGAGAGCCATCTGTGATTGCGTCGTCTTTGGCCACTTGAAGCAGAGTCTGCATGACATCCTTGCGAGCGCTACCATTTCCTTCCCGCTGCTTGGCGGTTTCCTTCACGACGTTCACCCAAAATTCCGTACATTGTTTAGAAAACACCCTCGTTTTAAATATCGTAAAGAACTGCGGAAGAATGAGGCTGAGCATGAAAAGAACCGATCTCCACGACCCGGCACAGAGTAACTCTCCCGCGTGCTTTCGAAATCGCGAATCCTCATTCTGAAGCAGCTTGCTCTCAATACCGAAACAGCAGGAAATTATGAAATCAATCGTGTACCTCTCACAGACGTCTTGGATGGCAATCGTCCCCTTGCCCTCTATTAAGTTACTTAAATTTCGTGCACATTCCGCTGAGTTCTCAAATACCAGCCTCATTCTGCTAGGAGTGAACGCTGGTGAGAGCTGCTCCCTTAGACTTCTCCAACGCTCACCCTTTAGACTAAATATATTCATAGTAATTGGATCGTTCTTCTCGTCCAAATGCGCAATATGGTCAGTGAAATACTCAAAATCGGTGATCAACATTCTTTTGATAAGCTCCAAATGGATCGGTACAAAGGTTGGGTACGCGAAAAGGTAGTAAGTCCCAAAATGTTTCCCTTCCCCTTTCAAGGACTTATAAAAATATTCCATGCTCTCAAATACGGTTTCACCATTAACAAAAACACCGGTCAGGTTTCCCAGGAATGGTACCGGGTGCAAGGAATTTACACCCCTTCGGTACCAAACTTTGAAGCTCAAATGTGAAACGATAACAACGGCCACAATTAAAATAATAATCATCGCGAGAGACATGTTTTCACTAGGTCGAATAGTAAATTCTCACTGTTGTAGTGAGTAGTTCGTACTTTTAGAGTTCAAATGTTAAAAGATAAACGTTCAAGGATCTTCTCCTCGCTACTTTTATGATGAAATCTGTTTACAATTCAGGCAGCGTACGTGCGAAAAGCGGGGAGTAGTCTGTGGTCAAAGTTCTTGTCCACGTTGGTGCAGAAAGAACGCCTGCTAACATTGTATTGGACGTATTAAAACACACATCATATTAACCGATTTTCCAAGAGTAAATCTGTAAGCATTTGGTGCAATTGAAGATTGTCCTTTCTATGTCTTTTAATATCTGTAGAGCATTGATTTCATAATGAGTTCCGCATGTCTGGAAACGAGATGTCTCTGGAGCTAGAGCCAAAGAAATGAAGAACACGAATCAACAAGTAAAGATGACCGTGTTTCATAGATCAATCAATTTTGGGGGTAGTAGTTAATGAAAAACGATAGTAGGGATCCGGGGAGATTTTGAAATGCACTCGGTCTTGGCCAACGAGATAGTTAGTGCGTCCAAGATATTAGCTTTATTTCGAGCACTAAACGCGAGGTTAGTTAGGTTACCTTAACAACCATTACGTTGTAAAAAAAAGATAACTAATTTTCAGAGAAGTTTAAAAAGAAACAAGTGGTGTTACTTATTTTTTATTTATTTTATGTTACAGTTAAAAGAGAAAAAACTTTCATTTACACAGAAAACATACAGATTATCACGACATTAAGAGGAAGTAATAAACAGTTATCGTGATCGCGTTTCTGTAGCATAAAGCGTAAACGTAATCAAGGACGAGCTAATTATGCACGCCAGAATAATTTGGTTACCATAAATAGCTATTGTTAAGAGTTCAGAGTAGTTGTCTGTTGTTCTTGAAACCAAAGAAGGGATCTTCGTAGTAGGAATAAATGTAAAATTGTTACGTAGTGAAAATCTCGCCTGTCTGGGATAATATAAAAAACGTTTCGATTTCCTGTAACACTGTGTTGATAAAATTGTGGCCCGTAACTCTTAAATTCCAGGATTCATCGCTAAAAAACTACGTCCAGATAAACATTTGCATCATTTGAAAATGTTTACTTAACCTGTTTCGATCGATCGCCTAGTCGATGGTGGTTCCGAGGATTAGAGAGATTAGAGAGGATCAATGGGAACCAAGGGTAATGGTTCTAGGGGTCTATCAAGCCGACACTGAAAAACGTTGACTTACCCTATACTTACCGTTGGCAACTCTGGGAAAAAAACTACGAACAGAGCCACCTACCTTTCAAGTCGAAACGATAGATGTTTCGCGGAACCTTTGAATTTGGATGGCAGTCGGCTTGGTATGGGTGCCACCGGGCACGAATGAACTCCTTCGTTGTGTAATCGGTTCTTGTATGTGTTGGGACGTGAGACATAATTGGGAAGGGAATTAAATAAACGGCAAAACTTTTGTGCGTACGAAATGGCAAGAACACAACAAACCCATGCCAGGGAAACCTTCTACAGGACAAAAACCCCGGCATAGGCCACCACAAATACATGAATTAAATCACGTAGAGTAATAAAATGCAAGAGAAAATACACATAAGTAAAACATCTTAAATTGTACTCGTATGATAAAAATCAGATATTCAAATCAAATGCAATTAAACAAGTTCATAAAAACAAAATACACAAGACATCATAAATGCAGTGGAAAACCTGATAAATCAATTCAGTACAAAAACGCATCAAAATATCTGTACGATCAATTGAGGTAACACAACCCGTAAAATAATAAATTGCATGTACATAGGAAACATGGAAATGGTGTGGCTCTACTCCAGCCTTCAGTTAACATAAATTAATTTCACACGAAAAGTACATGTGAGAATACCAATAGCAAGTATTCATGTGAAAATCGATTATCGCCCAAGCAGAACATATTTTAAATAGAGGAAATGTTAATGAGAGGGCCCTTAAATATCTCGCATTGCTAAGATGCCAAGAACTGCAATCCGCACGAGACGAGTAGGCAACAGATACAGCGAACGGTCGAACTGTATTAGGTACCTACTCCACGGAGACAGGTTGAACCACTCGCACACAGAAACATCAAATAAGTGAGCCCCCCTTTTCGTATAGCTAACGCACAAGAACTGTGGCGCGCCACGAATAAGAAAGTAACGGATACAGCGAACAGTCAAACTGCATTAGGTATTTCCCTCACGGAATACTATACGATCAAAAATGAGTTGCTGTCGAGTCACCTTTGGAATTTTTGTTTACATGGGAAATCGTATTGAACTTGAACTTCTATAGGCGACACGACAGCAACTAATTGTTGATCGCCCATTAGTTACTATTCAATGGATCATAGCAACATCACACTGTAAACACCTGTAAATACACCTTAAAAACACCACCACCAAAATAATCAAGAATTAAAAACCTTTCGGCGACCCCGTCGCCATCTTTTTCATTCTCCCCTTGCTTCGTTACGAAAATCCCCTAGTGTTCGGCATCTGCGCAAAACGGCCGATTGGTTATATACACAGCATTTCATATTTTTGTTTCAGATGTAAAGGTGTGTTGCCTAACCCTAAGGGTGGATTATCACACAAGGAATCAGAAAGACTATTGCGATCAGCGTTCAATACAATTAGGAGGATCATAGGGTCAGAGAGGTAAAAGAGGTCAACTAGACCAGAGCGATAAAAAGGATCAGAGAACTCAGAAAGAATCGTGGATCAGAGAGATCAGAGGAATCGGGTGAATCACGGAATCAGAAGAGTCGCAGAGATTGAAAAGATCAGAAAATAAAAAAAACAAATGCATCATCAGTCAGGTCAGAAGGCTAAAAGGGACCATAGGGATCATAGGGAGGGATAAACGGATCGACGGATCAATGGATCAAAGGTACAAAGAGATCAAAGGGATCATAGAGTTTAGGGAAAAGGTCCAGAAGGATCAAAATGATCAAATGGCAGAAACAAACGGAAGGGTCAAAAGAATCAGAACGATCAAAATGATAAAGGACTCAGAAATATTGCTATCATCGATCGATCGATCGATCATCGGAATCAGAGGGTTTGGAGGGGTTAAGAGGAATCAGAGGAACCATAGGGTCAGAAGGCCTAAAGGGTTCAGAGGATAAAGAGATCAGAGGGATCAGAGAGATAAAAAGATCAAAAGTTTAATAAGACCAAATTGATCAATAGCACCACAGGGATAAGGGAATCAAATTCGTCAGAAAGATCAGTTCGGTCAGAGGGATCAGAGGAATAAAAAAAAACGAAAAGATTATATGTATCAAGAAGACTAAGGGGAATAGAAGGTTGAAAGGATCCATAAGGATCAAAGGATTAACGAAATTAGATGCATCATAGATATCAGGGGATCATAACGTTTAGGGAGATCAAATAGATCATAAAAATAAGAAGAATCACAAAAGATAGAAGAAAAGAACTATACGGATTAGAATTACCAGAGAGATAAGAAGGATCAAAATGATCAAAAGAGAGATAAGAAATATCAGAGGGGTCGATTAAAATATTTAATGAATCAAGTGGATCGAAGAAATCATGGGGATTAGGGGGTTACAAGGATTAGAAAAACCAGATATATCAGGGAGATCGATGAGAACAAATGAACCAGAAACATTACTGCGATCAGCGGGATCAAACGGGTTAGGGAAATGAAACAGATCATAAAGGTCAGAGGGATAAAAGCAGAAGGGTTAGACAAATCAGAAAGATAAGGAGGATCACATCAGAACCAGAAAAATATGAAGAACATGAAGGATACGAATTATGTGAAGAATTTGAAAATACCTGAAGACGAGAAAGATATAAAGGACATAAAGGATATGTTATGACATTTAGATCACGAAGGACATCAAACACATGAAAAACAAAGGTTATGAAGAATATAAAGGACGTGAAGAATCTGAAGGATCCAATGAATCTGTTTCTGCGAGATAGGCAACCCACAATACTGAACTCGGCAAAACAAGCAAAAAGTATACACACAACCTCTTAAAAGTTCAAAATCAATTCGATCCTTCTATTATTGTTGTTGATGAAAAGTTAACGCTGGTTTTGTTTCGCTCTACAACTCAATTGGCAAGCGGAATTATTGCACCCTGTATAGTAAAATATTGTGTCGCCCTCTACTACATTTTTCTGTAAAATGACCGATAAGAAAACCTAACCTCAAAATGAAAGTATGAAATTCGCCAAGCTGAGTATTGTGGGAAAACTAGGAATTGCTTGGTAAGTCAACGTAAACGAATCCGTTTCGTTACACCCCAATTCCCGCAGGACTGTCGTAGTTGTCGCCGGCATATACGGATTTTATCTATCGAAACGAAGCATCGTAGCGAACCGGTACGAGCATATGAAAATAAGGGAACGCATGTACACCTCGAACACGCTCGCAAACCGACAGCAATCAAACGAATAATGGCGCAGACCGAACAGCAAAAGATGCAGCTGATTCAGGATCTCGAGATCGAAATGATGGCCGACATGTACAACCGGCTGACGTCGGCATGTCACAAGAAGTGCATCCCGCCCGTCTACTCGGACGCCGAGATCGCGAAGGGCGAGGCCGTCTGCCTCGATCGGTGCGTCGCCAAGTTTTTGGATATTCATGAACGTATCGGGAAGAAATTAGGACAATTGTCGATGCAGGACGAGGAATTGTTAAAAAAGAAATGAGTGTTGATGCATTTGTTGATTTTTGTAGTTTTTTAATTAGAATTGTTTAGTTCTAGTGATCAGGTGCCGTTATGTAAATCGATTTAATAAAAATTATGATGTCCCTGACTGGTTTCTAGAGTCGCTTTAGATCATTGAAGAACCTAACATCTATTGTGGGGTTTAATTCCCCTATTACATCCTCCACTGTTTCAACTTTCTGCCCACTGAGTCGACATGCAACAACCTCGGCTGTCTTGTATGGGTGATATTTTACTCATAAAGAGTCCTTCGCTTTCTGTATCAAGGCCTTGTTAAATCGCTGGCCAGTGGGTATGTTCTATTGGGAAACTGCTTATCTCCACCCACTAATTTGACTTGCTTTATGTAGCCTTTCTATATGCCATAATAGGGAATCTGCCTTTTTCTAATTTTGTTGTGAATGTACATCAGAATGTGTGACAAACGTCACTTTTCATTAGGTGCTGGTGCCGTCCAGCCAAGTGTATAATGGCAGTAGGGATTGATATAGCTCCAAACAGTCGTAGATCGCGTTGGGATTTGGCCATTTTGGGTTTTTATCAGAACCGGATTTCAATTAAAAAGATAGATTTCAATTCTTCAGTGAGCGCGGCAGAGTTTCGATTTTAGCCGAAATTAAACGACGAGGCCGTTTCTGGTACGGTGGTTCCCTTGTGCAACAAATTGAGAGGTCCCACCCTGTATATACAACTTACGACGAAACAGAGTTGGCAACCATGCAATTTCTACGTGGGAAAAAGTTTTTTAATGCAGATAGTAATCTTTGCATTTCTTTATATCGTATTTGTGTTTTGTATGCCACATTTTATATTTTTTGTTTTTGAAATTTACTTGGTTTACCGCAAAGCATAATCACATATGTGATACCGTTATGCTATTGTTTGTAATTGTTTACGTTTTTGGTGTAATACTAACTTAATTTATGTTTATTGATGTTGATTACTTGGTCTTGCCCCTGAAGTATCATTCATATAAGTTTTGATCATTTTATTTTAGTATGTGGAAATTACAGATTCGTTTGATGTATGTACTGACTTGTTGTTTGTAACTAACAATTTTCTCCGTGAATGAAGCAGTTACGGGGGTGGTAAAAACTGTAGTCAAAATTGAGCTAGGACACCTAATTCGAACTGTAGCTTCGAAACCCCGAAACCAGGGGCGAGTTACCTATCTTGCAGGAGCGGGATTGCGCTAATCAAAGCTCTTCAGTTCAGAATCTATGTGCGATAAATGAGTGGCGATTCAATAATTTCCACATATTTTGTTTTTTGTTAAATTTGCCTACAAAGCCATGTAATTTTCCATCTTGCTTTTAACAAAATGACTTTATTGCACCAAAGATGAGTCACATCCTGTGTATTTCACCCTTTCTAAGAATCTTGGTACTTGCTTACCTGACCCATAATTCCCAAAACTTGTTTTTAATCTATAGGTTACCTCTTGAAGTTTACCTGCTACTTTTTGTGATGTTATAATTTTATGTTACGCATTCACATCATTACAAACAATTAATTTTACAACACAATTTGATATTAATTTGAGGACTGGTTTTTTTATTGGTAAGTTCTTTTTTCCCAGCCTATTTCTATTTTGATTCAGTGAACTACCATTTTCAAAGTTTATTTTTGCAATGTAATTTATTTCGACTTAAATTTCCGAGCTTTCACAATCTTAATAATTGCGATCATTATTAAACAAACTTTTCACAATTTCAGTATTTTATTTTACGTTCCTTCCCTACTGTGCTTCAGGTCAAAGCGCTCTTACAACTAACGTAAGGGGGCGCTGCTCCAGCCTTCAGTTAACATAAATTAATTTAACACAAAAGGTACATGTGAGAATGTGCAAATCGACTATCGCTCAAGCAGAACATATTTTAAATAGAGGAAATGTTAATGAGAGAGCCCCTAAATATCTCGCATTGCTAAGATGCTAAGAACTGCAACCAAGGTTGTAGACGGGGAAGCACTATGCTCACTTAGAATGAGTAACCACTTTTATGTCAATAGTCACACATCTACCATATTTTAAGGTTTACATAACAAAATAGGATTAGAAAACGGATGTTATTAAAGCCGCTTTACATTAGGCAATTTTAGTGCAATGCAAGGCTTGCGCTATGCAATCTAAAATTGCCTTGCATTGCTTTTACGGTTTTACATTTATGCAATTGTGTTGCAACTTTTGTGCAAGTTTAGAAAAGTGTTGCAGTACTGACAACATATTTTTCAAAAATTGAAACTTTTCAGTTTGTTTACACAGAAGGTTATTCATGAAACTTAATAAAATTGACCATTATAGGTATGAGCAAACAAAAGGAAATTAAGCTGGCTACAGCTTGTTATGTGGTGGCGCTTGCTATTAAAAAAACACACACAAAATAACACACGCGAAACCAAATAAATTGTGGTATTGACAAAATTACTAGAAAAGTTACTAGAACTTGCGCCAAACTTGCAAGTGAAATAGAACTTTCTCTATTTATTTTTCTTGCACCTGAATTGCGTATGAACATGCGCAGTAACGTATCTCTAACTTGCATTGCTCTTGCATTGCACGAAAATTGCCTAATGTAAAGCGGTTTTTAGTTACATACTTATCTGATTGGGAATACAGGTTAAAATAAAACCCATCGCTCCGCCACTGGAAGTAAGACGCTGTGAACCTGAGCCTTACCTTACCGGTACTTGAGCTACAGCCAGGGGTTTACGTTTTACTGCTTGCAGTTAAAGCTACTAATTGTTTGTTTAATATAAATTATTGATAAACAAAAACATTTCTTGATAACGTTATTGAATGGACGGAAATGATGACATACCACTAATTAAAATCGAACTAAAACAAGAAGAAGAAATCCATTCCGATATTCAAGAAAACAATTTAGTAAGCAACGAAGCATTGGTTACAATAAAGGACGAAGTTACCATTACTGGACAGTGCTTCAAATCGCACGATAATAAAGAAGTACAACAAACTGACTGTGGATGGAGTATTAAGACTGAAATTTCCAACAATTTTGAGAGTAACTTCGGTCAACACACAGGCAATTGTGATTATGGAACAAAGAATACGCAACGGCTTCAACGACGCTTTGTAACACACAAACGTAATGCTCTACAATGTTCTAATTGTGATTACAAGGTAAGTAACAAATACCAGTTTAAACGGCACCTTTTAACACATTCCAATTCTAAAGTTTTTAAATGTACTAATTGTGATTACCAGACAAATCGGAAAAACAGTCTTAAACGACACCGTTTAACACATATTGATTCTAAAGATTTTAAATGTGATCATTGTGATTATGAGACAAATTACAAATACTGCTTTAAACAACACCTTTTAAAACATGCCGATTCTAACGATTTTAAATGTGCTAATTGTGATTTTGAGACAAATCAGAAAAACAGTCTCAGACAACACCTTTTAACTCATACGGATTCGAAAGTTTTAAAATGTGGTAATTGTGATTATGAGACAAATAACAAATACTACTTGAAACGACACGTTTTAATACATACCGATTCCAAAGATTTTAAATGTACTCATTGCGAATACAAAACAAGTAACAAATACCACTTTAAGCGGCACCTTCTAATACATACCGACTCTAACGATTTTAAATGTGGTCATTGTGATTACGAGACAAATGTGCACAATAACTTTAAACAACACCTTTTAAATCATACTGTTTCTAAAGCTTTTAAATGCGCCAATTGTGATTACGAGACAAATAACAAATACTACTTCAAAAGACACTTTTTAACACATACTGATTCAAAAGATTTTAAATGTGATAATTGTGCTTACGAGACTAATCATAAAAACCATTTTAAACGGCACCTTTTAAAACATGTCGATTCTAAAGACTTTAAATGTGCTAATTGTGATTACGAAACGAATAACAAATACTACTTTAAACAACACGTTTTAATGCATACCGATTTTAAAGATTTTAAATGTGCTCATTGTGATTACAAGACAAATAACAAATACTGCTTTAAACGACACCTTTTAACGCATACCGATTCTAAACATTTAAAATGTGCTCATTGTGAGTATGTAACAAATAATAAACGATATCTTAAAGGACACATTTTAACACACAAACTTTCAAGTAATGCAAATGTGCTGAAATGTGCTAATTGTAATTACGAGACAAATATCAAACGCTATTTTAAACGACACATTTTAAAACATAGTTTTTAAAGGAATATGCTCATTGTGATTGTGAGACACGGTTACACAACACCTTTTTAAGGAACCGTTTTTACAAGGAACAAATTTCTTGTGTCGTTTCTCGCTAAGTTAAATTAATCTTAATTCTGCATCCAAATGTTTGTGGATGTGGAAACATTTAAGTATCAATTATCTCGGAGTAAGACATAAAGATACAGATGCGTTGGGGGGCCCGTTCAAAACATGTCAACATATTTTTGTTTATAAATGTTGAAGTCCCACTTCATGAGATCCAATTATCATTATCTGTTTCTCAGAGATTTTTTTAATTTTCTTGTAGCTGTTAGAAAATATTAGAATTAGAAATAGACATTTGCTAAGATTCTGGAAACTTATGTTGATTTAAAGTACCTAATTTTTTAAAGATTAAGAAAGTGAAAGCGCTTTTTATGCCCGCAAACGTACAAAAAAACGCTTGTTGACGTATTGTTAGTTAAGTCCTGTTAAGCCGTAATTGTCGATTTGCATTTTTGAGAAGTATGTTGTTGAGAGTGAAGCAGAAATGAAATGAAGCTGGTATGCCGAATTGTTGTGTAAAAGCGACTTTATTTAAAAAAATATATGAAACAGAATATACTTCCCAGACAGCACAAGATTGTACAGTGGATGCCCAGTGGACGAATGATTTTGAGCCATTAGACGTACACTGAATGTCCACATTTGGTGCTACTTTTGTCCAAATTACAAGTATATATCTTTGTTGTTACCAATTCTATTCATATACCTTCAAAAAATTGACAGATAAATATTTTTGAGGGGAACTTAAAGATGTTACAGAATGGTTCCATAAAAATGCCCGAAAGAGCCAAACGCGTCGAATGGGCTGCATAGATTACAATACAATATGT